CCATACTCGGGCAGCTTGTATTGGTATGTAAATATTTTATATTTAAAAATAAAGAAACAATTGCAGTTAAAATAATTTATATTTCTTACAGAGAAGAAATTTCCAATGCATTTAAGTAAGTAAATAATAACAGAATAAAATTTTAAATATCGGAATAAATAGATTTATATACAGTATCTTATATATTAAACTTTCACAAAGAGATTCGATGTAAGAATTCTCCCATCGCTATATTAAATGGAATATGGGAAAATTGGAATCAAAGTAAGAATTACTCGTACGAAGATGAACTTCATCTCACTTGCGATGATGGTTATAAATTAAATGCCACTGGAACAATTAAATGTCTCGAGAATGGAGAATGGTCCCTCACTTCTGCTACTTGTTTGAGTATTTGAAAATTTCTGAAAATTTTATTTTATTATAAAGTTTCGAACGTTAAAATCATTATCTTAATTTTTTTACAGAGAAGAAATTTTCAATTAATTTAGGTATGTTAAAAATTACGTTGTCAGACATTAATTATTAAAGTAACTACACAATTTTTCTTTAATCATTATAGTAGTAATTGTTGCTGCAGTTACGCTTGTCGTATTGAAAGTTGTATACTTCATCATGTTCAAAGCAAGGTTAGAAACATTTCTATAATTATATAATAATTTAATTACTTTTATATTGAACAAATTGATTTGAAGCGAATGTACACATTTTCAGATTTTATTTACAGGATAAGTCTGGAATCATAAGAGTTAGTGATTTTCATTTTTTACAGGTGAAGCATGACGCTAAAGAGAAACGATTTTTATGGTATTTTTATGGTAGAGACTGCGTTCAGTGTTAAGTTGCCTAAGAGTTTAACTGGCTGCCTTATGATTGCGAGAAGTTTGGATAAGTTAGGTAATTTCACGCCGGCTGCAGTTCCCTACCATCAAAATTACTGGAATTATTTCCTTTTTACTCAGGGCCATGCTTTATACCTGTAAAAATTTAACAAAATCCATCACAATTATTCCTTTCAACATAAGTTGGTAGTTGTCAAACCAAACTATATCACTTTTTAATCAGTTGTAGGGAGAGGCTACTTTATTACTTGTAAACGCATAATTGTTTTTTCCAGTCCTGATGTATTGGGTACCTCTTTCTTATAGTAAATGGTTTTAAAATGGTTTAGTCTGATTTGATAATTCTTATAATTCCAGGCTTATGAGCGCTTTACAAGAAAATACACGAAACAAAACAGTAACAACAAAGACCAACTTTAAAGTAACATTTTAATTTGTTATTTTAAATACTACGAATAAAGTCTGTGAAAAGAATCACACGGTGTGTGATTTCTGGTTGTGAGGTCATTTGAAGAATAGGGTTTATCATACAAACGCTGCAACTTTGACAGACCTAAAGGATTATATTACAATGTACGTGCAAAGCATCACTGAAGAGCAGTTGCGGTCAGCTGTTCAGGCGATGAATCGCCTCCAAGTTTTACACTTGAATAATGCAACACACATTAAATAACTTCCTGACATCAGTCAACAGTCTCTACTGAAGGCTTTATCCTTGTGGAACGTATAAACATGTTTTCGTTTTTATTTTTTGTGTATTTCCGGAGCTTTACAGGAGAATACCTCTTTGATTACGGGCACAATATTTTGTGTTGGCCTGTTTATGAGCATCTGTAATAAAGCTATTTCTTTTAATTAAGCTGTAATAGAACCATTGGCTATGTTATTATATACAAAAATATAGACACCTCCTTTAGTATGAGAATTTTATATATAGTAGACCCCCTATAACGCTTAGATACGTTCCACTTTATAAGAATTTCACGTTGTAGGAAACCTTAAATACATGAGCCAATCACAGTCCGACACGTGTGAAATTTACGGACTACGGCTGTTTGAAAGGTTTTCTTCAATAAAATTAATCCATTCTAGACTAATTTGACTCAACATTTCCAAAACACGTATAAATTTTTGGGAATAATCCGTATAAACTATGCATGCTATAAACAAAAAAATTGTAAGATTACTTACCGAGTGTGCACCGTTCGACCAAGCCGTTGCTTACGCTTGTTTTCGTCGCGGAGCAGCGAACCAAAGACGGCCGCGATTTCTGACAAGTTATTTTTCTGCGAAAAAGTCGTTGACCTTTGCAGACATCATTAATATAAATAATTTTTATGGCCGTTGAATAAGAAATGTTCCTTTCACAATAAATGTATCAAATTACAGTACTGTATTAAACTTACGGTACCTAATTTACATACTGTACAGACGATAATGAACTAAACTTACCCGCCTAAACTCTCCGTAGCGTGGCGCTGGACGGCGGAAAGTAGTTCGGCTGCTCATCCACTATTGGTCCAGATTCGACCAATCTTGTAGCAACACGAGTTGGCAACGACGTTTTACGAGTCCCTTTATACGAATACTGTCACAATTTTTTCGCTACGTTATAGGAATTTCCTTTATAGGAACCCACGTTATAGGGGGGTCTACTGTATATATATGAAATTTATAATATTAAAATATGTATGCAGCAGTGCAAAATAAACTTTTTCATAGTCGATTCATAGTCGATCTTATGGCGTATCCCACTGTGCGTTGAACCACATTGTTTAACATTTTATCAACACATTTCATATGAATTGGCTTTGCCACTGATAAATATGAATACTTATACAGTATGAATACCGAATAGTCGAGGCTCTGCAGTACCCCAAAATCAAATCCAGGCGAGCAATTGTTCAGGAAATTTTTCATGGATTAGATTTTTTTACGTCTATCACGAATATGTTGGGCCTTAGTCGTTTCCATTGCAGGCATAGTCGAATCCATGATGGGTCTGAAAGATTGTAATAGTGCTTAGTAAATTAATTTTTAATTTAAAAAGTATTTCTTTCTTTACATTGCGGATTTACAGTATTCATATTTACAATCATTGTCACGATATATTTGATTAATGAAGTTATCAATATTTTAATGCAAATTGTAATAATGACTTTGTAATTGTTCGTCCATAAAATTAATATAATTTATTTTAGGAAAAGAAGAGACCAAGACGATGAATGAATTATATAAAAAAACGGCATGTAAAAATCCAGTCGATGAAACAACCGAAGTTATATCGCTAGAACTTGCAAACAACGAAGTAAAATATGAAAACTTAGATGAGTACACAAATAATAGGCGTGAAATTATTATATTCATGAAAAAATGTAGTGTTTATGAAGAAATATAGCGTTTGTAACTATTTTTCTTGGTGAAGAAATGTATTCTGTTAATGAAGCATATCGAAATGAGCGATTCGAGATCGCTTATAGATATAAATTTTAATGACTGTAAATTACACAAAAATTACACAGTCACATTCAAATATTACGTGACGTAAAAAAATGTTTACGAACTTTTAAGCATACTGTCAACGGATCGGGTGTAAATTCTTCTATTTAATTACACGTATATTTTAAATTTATGCTAATGTAATGTTTGTAACATCGCGACGCTTCTACCGCAATTATAACAACTGTAACGTTTACATTACAATTATTGTGAATCTGAGTTCATATAACAATCTGTAATGTTGCCAAGTAGCCTACAGCCCAGTAAAGATATACCGGTAGTAGCTTCATTGACATTACTATGTACTCAGATTTTATAATTGTATAGTGTACACGCGATCTATAATTTCTTTCTTGCGAAATTTCAGACATCCAATCAGTTAATTAAGTTTAACGAATTCATTAAAAATTTTTGTATTTCTATCGAATAAAAACCGAATTAGTTACATCATCTGAAACGAATTTAATTGTACAAAAGTACTTATCGGAATTAAATCGGAATTAAAGTAACAAACCGGAAAACCAGAATAAAAAGACAAGGAAATCGAAAAACTTTACTCTCCATACTCTTGAGCGAGAACGAATGCAGATCGGACCACCAGTGGCCAAGCGGTTCTGTTCCCTGAACACTGGGCAGTTCGGTCGTGGGTTCGCCAGGACGGATTGGCCACGTGGAGTTTTCCGGGTTTTCTCCACATCTGTAACGCCTAAATACGGGCCAGTTACCCTTAAAAAGATCTCCCGGAAGACATTCCCCCTGGACAGATTGCTCAAGTGTTGCATTGCCTTAACTAAACGAACGAATGCTGATTAATTTTATTGCCAAAGTATAATCTATAGAAGTAAAAAGACTAACTTTATAATACTGTAGGGAACCCGTTCTTAATCAGCGGATTCCGCCCCGCCGGTTCGTCTCACCAATTAATCAACTAGTCCAATATTTCCACAAAAAAACTTTATTCCGCTCTCAGGGACCACTACTTTGCAGTCCCTCTCTCTCTCGTGTCCCGAATTCCTTCTTCCCGCGTTTTCTTCCTGGGTCTTAACGGCCCCTCGTTAGCGTGTGTCGATGGATAGATCGCATCTGCCCCGACGAAACCGCCCGAGAGGGAGGGCGAGAGGGTTTGATATCACCACAAATACAGTTATCTTTGGTAAAGGAAGTCATAATTTTCTTAATATACTGTTTTTCATACGTAGAATATTTTGTTAAATGATATTTTGGATTTCTTTTTGAGCGAACCAGCCATGTTTTATGCTGGTTCAAGCAATCTCTATTTAAGGAAAAATTAATGTTTACATGGTCTACTGTTAGAAAGTTTTTGTTGAAATTTATCATTCTGACTCAAAATTCGTGTCAAGGTGGAAACAACACTATACAGTTACATCAATTTATTATTTACAGAATTACTATAACAAAAATACTTACGATAAATAATAACCTCAGTGTCTTGATCTCACAATATATAATTTTACAGAAAGTATAAACAATATTTATAAAATGCATTCAAATTTAATAGTTCAAATTATTCGAGAAGAAAAGATTTATTCGGAGCTGTACTCTAACTGAAAATTTTGTTTATTCTGAAGATACATTAAAAGTTATGCCATCCGAATTTTCGATTGATCTCTGTCTCAGGTCAATCAATTTAAATATAGGCTTATAATCATGTAGGAACATGCCTTATAATGGGCATAAATATCTTATGCGTGCCAAAGTTTTAGATTTCGAATAACGATATCTAAAGAAATAAAACGAATAAGGTTTAATTAGAATAAATGAAAAGAAGCTTATTGACAAAACGGATGATTGAGTGATAAATCTAAAGGATGCTTGAAAAGAAGACAGGTGATAAACCGAAATCGTGTGATAGCTTCGCCACTCTTGAGTTACACCAACCAAATCTATATTCCATGAGTATATTCTTGTCAATATATAAGGATTAGAGTTCAAAATTTTAAACAGTTTTACCCAAGTAAAAGGTAGGCAAATAGGGTGTTTAAATGCTGCCTTTCACTGTGCATACAATAAACTGTTTCATATTCTCAACTTATTATATTGACAATTCTTGTGTTTAGCATAAGTCTATTCCTCAACAAGATGCTATTTTCTGTTTCAATTTCATACATTCCACGTATCTATTCCAGCAAGAAAGTGTAGTGTGTAAAATTAGGATAGAAAAAGTTATAAAGCTTATTCATCCCCTTTAACATATATTAAGCTCCATGTGTTAAAAGCTCAGAACTCTGACTCTTGAACATCATTCGGCCATAAAATTCTTCACAAGAAATACAGTTAACAAGAAACTTATTATAGTCTTAATATAAGGAACATTTTCTATGCAGCTCTCCGTGTATTTCTTTTGTTGATTTCTGGGTTATTTTTACTTTCCATAGTCTAATTTATACGATAGGCAAAACACATACAGAATGTAAACAAATATATAGGCCTAATTATAGTGTATTGTACAATCGAATCTGAGAAATCATTTCTTTGTGTTGAAGACCATATTATGATGGTGCCACGTGCTTCGAAGTTAATTCATTCCAGGAAGCCGTTCGAACTATGAATCGTTCGAAAAACGAATTAATTTTCCCCATTAGGAATAATGGGAACTGAATTGATCAATTCCCAGACCCTAAACAATGCCTATTTCAATAAATTTAAAACAGCATATACAGTAGACCCCTATAACACTGTAGATAATTCCGTGTTATATGAATTCCATGTTGTACGAGTCACTTAGATTTTACAAATACGTTAGCCGTTCACAGCCCGGCACACGTATTTGTAAAATCTAAGTGACTCGTACAACATGGAATTCATATAACACGGAATTATCTACAGTGTTATAGGGGGTCTACTGTACATGCAAAAAGAAGTGTTTCACGAATAAATGCAGTTGTAAAAGCAAAGGACTCAAAGTGCCATAACAGTTTAAGATATTGGAATTTATTTTTGCAATAAATAAGATTGTACAACGTCAATCACATAATTTATGTGTAAGTTTGTTATTGTATTATTTTCTTTAATGATTTAGAACGCACTGTTCATTTTAGGTTCAACAGTTTATTTGCATGTGTCGTTACTTAAGCTTTCTCCTATTTTGACATATTAAAAACTTGCATTTTTGTCTTAACGTAATAAAAATATTTTTATTCAACATTCACCATCAGCGCATGCTGAATGTCGACATTTGCCGGTGTAAGTGAGAAATAATGAGGTTTAGCAAATATTTCGTACATACACGAAACGACCGTGTGAATGCTGACATTCGCCATATATCGGTTATTCACAGTAACATATATATAGCCACTTTAATCCAAAAATTCTTTTTGGTTGACGGTCTCAATTTGTGCAATAAACATGGGCGTCGCGAGGGGGGAGCCTGGATGGGCACGGCCCTCCCCAGTGAACCTGGTGCCCCCCCCAGAAAATCACAGCCGAAAAAGTGTTAAGCCGATTTGGAAACAACAAAAAACTTAAAGCTCAAAATTTTGAATACTAATAAAAAAAAAAAGGTTCACTGTGCCCAATGTTATGAATAATTTGAAATAATTCAATTTTGTGTTAGGTTGGCCTCTACTAGGCCCCCCACAACAAAACTCTGGCTACGCCCATGGCAATAAAATCTTAATTTTGTAGCCAGAAGTGCTGTGAGAACGTCAACCAAAAAGATTTTTTGGATTAAAGTGACTACAGTATTTAAACATTAAAAATAGAATAAACCTCGATTTAGTCAAATTAGACCAATGATAATGATAATGCTAATTATAAAAAGTATCCAGCAACGAGTTGCTTGGTCAATTTTTTGACCGATCGCCATACTTTCCCTTTGTTATATATAACAGCCGGGAAAAGAATAGATATAAAGTTCAAACTTTTCTAATGAAACATATTGATATTAATTATGGATTCTTAATGGATATAAGTACAAATAATTCTATTGTAAAAGTTATTTTAAAAGAACTTAAATTAATTATGTACATATATATATACATAATTAATATACAAATAGTACGTACTGTACATGATTGTGCTTTACAACCGAGTACGGGTGGTAACTTATTACAGACGACCATAGGAAGATGGAAAATATATTTGTTTATTTATAGTTTAATTTTTGTAACAATAGGCGGTTGCCACTTTATCTAGCAATTGCTAATGATATTTTATCGCACTGTGAGGAACTGAAGTTTTACAGTCCCATTGTGGGTTTGGCCACTCTCATAACGGAACGGCCGGGTGGTGAGGAGAAGGTCGGTCCTTACCGACTCATCAGTGGCTAAGTGGATTAACACTATTAAATACCGTACCTCTCGTAGGATCGCATCTGACTAACGAACTAGCCACCTAGAGTTTTCTTTGTGTGCCTACATCTAAATAGGGGCCAGTTTCTCCATAGGTAAGCCTCTCGGGTTGCATTCCTTTGGCAGATCGTCCATGCGTCCTCTGCCGTATCCAACCAAGCCAAACCAAGTCAAACCATTCTTACCAACCGGTCACTCCATCGTTAAAATTAAAAATGAAAATTTAGATGTTTTCCTTCCTTTCATTTTTGACTCTCTGTCCTGTAGGAACTAAGAGGGCTGTTTAAGCAGGACCGATTTATGTGGGGGCTACAGGCACTTAAGCCCTCCCCACTGTGCGGCCGGATAGCCGAGCGGTCAAGGTGGCAGCCTATCGCTCTGAGGGACCCGGGTTCGAATCCGAACGGGTCGAAAAATCCCCAAGAATTTTTCGGGGGTGGTCCGTTCGGATATGTCGGGCCTCGTCCCTCACCACCCGGCAGCCCCATTGTGGGCCTGGCCGAACCCATAATGGGCTTGCAAAAAGAGTAGTGCCCACAGGGCGGAAAGAGTTTAAAAGGCAGCCCCATTGTGGGCCTGGCCGAACCCATAATGGGCTTGCAAAAAGAGGCCCTTTTAGTGCCCACAGGGCGGAAAGAGTTTAAAAAAAGTCCTCCCCACTGATCGAACAAATAAATGTTAATTTTTTTGCTAATATCGTTTATAAAAACATTTATGATGACAAATATGATTTATCGGATCATATTTGTCATCCGCAATATAATCGTCGAGCACGTGTTAATAAAAGATAGATTATAATTATTCAAATATTTTTTATTGTTCAGTTAGCTTTCCTTCGGGTTCTTCTGGATCCGTCATTGTTTTTAATCCCATTATAAGTCCAATCAGACACTCAACGGGGGCGGCCGGATGATGCAGGACTGGATGATTTAGATTTTAAACTTCTTGAAGGTTTGAAATTTGCTATTTTTAATGAATTAAATTCTTTTGAATTACTTTTGTGTTAGAGAGGTTACTTAATTAAAATTTGTCACATTTCACTCAAAATCCTGTATTTTGCTATATTCTTATAGTGACAAATTTTATTTCAAAATTCTTTGCCGATTATAACGACGATCCGATGTTACAAATTCAGGTAAAAGTAAAAGTAATCGACAAGTTCATTACGTAGGTTTCTACTTCAGACGTTATTCCACTTGAAAGAAGAAAATTCATTAAAATTTAATTAATTAATAATGCATATGATGCATGCTATGCCTGGAATCTCACGTTCTATAATAGCTTCTTGTCTTTTATTATATTTTTCCTTCTCTACTAATTACGTCAGAGGGCAGCATAGTTGATAGCAGCCATTTCCCGGGAAAATACTCCACGTGTCATGTGTCAAGTTACTCCATGCATGATTAAATATTTCCGTTCTTAATCGATCGTTTATACTCAAATTTTAGTTCTACTAAAAATATTAAAGTCTGTCTAGCGGGAACTAAAGAAGTGACAAATTTAAAAATTCACCGTTGAGCTCGTTAATTTAATTATGCTAAAATACTCAACTTTATGACAATGATTGCGGTTATATTAGTTTTTATTGCGTGTTGTAGTAATGTCATTTTCTTGGAACATATCATCAAGTAAGAAATAACAAAAATTTTCTCATTTATTCCCAAAATATATCAATTCTTAGGAAAGTAACATTTTGTTTTAACTTGTATTTTTCCAGTTTTATATTATATATTACCCGCTTTTACTCAATTAGAAATCATCCTCAAGTTTTATTTTAATTAATGTATAAATTTATTTAGAATTTTATTCAAATAATATATAATTAAAGTATAGCACGAATATTCAGTAACGATAAAATTATTTAGTGAGTACATAAAATATTATTTGATATATAATAATACAAAAACCTCTAAATGAGTGACAAGCAACCTTTATGGATTTGGGCAACGAGTGTACTTTGTATAAGCAGGCTTTGGTAGGCTGCTTGCATTTTTTTCTTATAGAATTCCAGGCCTTTAAGNGTTCCTTGCAACAATCACAACTTTATTATACATTTTTTCATTTAGTTTTTTTTTCTTTAATTTAAAGTTACAATATGTAAAATTAACAATACGGGTACTCACTAAATTTCTTAAATGAGGGGTACAATCTAGAGATATGATATGTCATGGGGTACGCTAATGAAAAAAGGTTGGGAACCACTGCTCTAGGCGATGATGAATCAGTGAGTGAATGAGTGAGTCAGTCAGTCAGGACAAGCAATTTTATATATTTAGATCAGGGGTGTCCAACCCGCGGCCCGCGGGCCACATGCAGCCCAAGGCAAGTTCCAATGCTGCCCATTATACGTGTAAACAAAACCGATAAATTTTTAAATCCTTTTATTATTTATTTATTTCAACGGCATAAACTCAAAAAATAAGTTTCACAAAGACATAAATCTTTATTTGTATTTTATTTTTGAGTGGAAAGGAAATATTTTCAAATACTTGGAGATGAGTGAATGAAGAAAGATTATTAAATAAAGCTATAGTTGTGACTCAAAGGATTATAGACCCAAATTTGAGATAAGAAGAGAAAGGCCAAAAGATAAAAAGTAGTGAGAAAGGTTAAATAGATCTGTTACGCAAATAGTGACCCTTAATTTTTCAACCTTTCTCACTTGTTTACCTTTTGTCCTTTCCTTTTCCCGCATTTTGGTCAATAATCCTTTGAATCCCAACTCCAGCTTTATTTAGTATTCCTTCCAGCGTTGCAAGATTTGGCTACTTTGCGCCAAATTTGGCTACTTTTTTGTTTGACGTAAAAATATAATTTGGCACTTTGGCTACTTTCTCGGCTACATATTATTTGTAAATACATTAGTCGAATAAAAATGCACTTTAAAATGGTGTTTCGTCGCTTTTTATTAATTAAAGACCCAAATTAAACAAATATTTGTGTTTTTCAAATAAATTTTCGTTTGTCTCTTTTATAATAATTGAATTTATCTATTTCTAAGTAAAAATTGAAAGTGTCTGTAGAAGTAATTTTTTAAAATATCCTTTTTCGTGATAAAGTTTTAATACATATTACTATAATCTAGACATGTTAATTTTTAAATATACTTGTATATTTAAGGAATGGGTTACAAATAGGCCTATAATATATATACTTGTGGCCACAAACTCCATGACTTCTTCCAATGTGGCCCAGAGGAACAAGAAGGTTGGACACCCCTGA